CAGAAAAGCATCACAGTTGCAGACTTTTCCCATTTACCAGGAGATCAAGCAGTCAGGCTCAGGGTGAGCAATGGGAAAGCCTGGATCAGGCAGCTCCCCTGGTAGCAGAGAGCTTCCCACACCCAGGGTGCTCCCCAGCCCTCAGCCAGTGGGGTTTGTTGTGGTTACTGCTGAGCCGCCTCCTCTCGAGGAGCTGTCCTGTGTCCCAGCCCAAGCCCTGCAGCCACGCTCGGCATCTTTCTTTTGGTCACAGCCTGATGTGCTGACATGTGAACAGCTCCTTTTAAAGAACAGATACCCTTTCAAAGAGCAAAGTCCCCCAGGCAGCTGGGGAAAACTGGCAGAGGACACAGACTGGATTAGTTTTTGCTCTGTGCTCCCTGTGGCTCTTCACACGAAGGAGCTGGTGGCATGAGATGGGGCTTGGGGACCAAAGTTGGTGCCTTTGCATGTTAGAAACCATTTCCGTTTGCAAGCCTGACAAGCACTGTCTGTTTCAGTATTTGTGATCCCCACAGAGCTATTTTTCTGCATTTCCCAATACTTTCTCTTCTTCCCTATTCAGTCTGCAGATGGGCCTGGCCCCTTAGCTGGCTCCCTTCAAAGGAGGGCATTATATTATGCCATCATTTATCACACTGTTCTTTTCTCCAGTAAATTTCCATTATGATTGGAAAAAAGTCTGACAGCCATCACCTCTGCTCTTAGATGAACTTTGGTTGGTTATTGAGCTATTACTCATAATTTAATTGTCTTCACTTGCTCTATCTATGTAAAAAGATAGATAAATAGATAGAGATAGATAGATAGATAGATAGATAGATAGATAGATAGATAGATAGATAGATAGATAGAGGTATGAAGGAGGAGGGGAGCAATTTGGGGTGATTACTGGCCCAAGTCAAGTTGGAAGGGGAGAGAAATTGCATTGAGCTGCACCAATTTACACCTTCCAAGATACTGCCTTTCTGTGACAGTGAAACATTTCTCACTACCAGAACTCAATCTAGTGTCTGCTTGGGTTTAGTATGCAGTTAAATTCACAAGATGCAGTTCAAGAAAAAGCTACAGATTGATGTTTCAGCTTCTGAGAGTCAGAAAAAGTGAACTCAAGCATGCATATGTAACTTCAGAGACTAACCTAATCTTCCCCTCTTGCTGAGAAGATTCACATAGCAACAGTGAAAGGGGCTTTCTTCAATTTGCCTTATCCTGTGTGTATTTAAGATAACTCTTTTTTTTCCAGAATTTCATTTAGCTACTCATACTACAAACACAAGGACAGATGGTCACCAGATCAAACTTAATCAGCATTCTGTATGCTGGATTTTGGGCTTAGAAATTCATCTGGTTCTAGTAAAGCATAGTCTGAAACCTGCCTGATGTTAAGTCAACCACAGAATTGTATTAAATTTCTAAGCCTCCCCATCCTCACAGGAGGTTGAGATGGGAACCATCGGGCAATTTCTAAAAGGGGTTGATTAGTAGTTTAATTATCAGAGATCAAAATCTGCTCTGTTAGTAGTGTCTCACTGGAGAAATGCATTTTTAATGGGAGAGTGCAGCCCAATCTTACCCGTTTGTGTCTTCTTCAAATTCATTACAGGGCTAAATCCAGTCCTGGAGTTAAAGGATGTAGTTTTGTTTACATCCTCTTACTCCATATTGAATTCAGGGTCTAGACCTTGGCAGTGCACCCTCAGTCAAGGCAATTTGGACTATTTTCCCATGGCTTCTTCTCATTCCTCTTTTCATCGGGCTCTTCCCTTCCCTGCCTCTCACTGTTGTCAGTTGTTGGGCTGAACTCCATGTGAGTGTCCCCACCCCAAGGAGTTGTGGTTACATACACAGGACAAGAAATGAGCTTCCCACAGGGAAGGTCTGTCAGGCTTCTACCTGCCCATGGGTACACAGTATCCAGGGGCATCAAGAGCCATACCAGAGCCTCCTTTGCCTCAAGTGAAGTCAGGGTTTTACTGTATTCTTAAATCCTGTGTCCTTCAGGTTGGTGTGGTGATCTTTTCGCCCCCTCCAAAACCACTCCGCTATTTTATCCCTCGTGCCACAGTCTGTTAGAGATGTGTGTGTACCCCTGCCTCCAACTCTGCTCCCTGTATTTGCATAACTGTGGCATGGGGCTGCCTGGCTGGAAACCAAACCCCCCTCCAAATGGCACAGAGGCGACAGCCATCTGTGTCTTTTTCACATTTGGTTTCATTGTTTTAGGATCAAATCCAACCACTGCAACCTACAGTAACTCTAGACTTTTCAAGGCTCAGAGCTTTCCGTATAGCACGATCTGTGGTTTCACTGTGGAGAAGCAAACCTGGAAAAAAAAAACTTGTTGGACTGGATCAGAAGTATTTTAGTTAGTGCAGAGGGCTGCCAGTGGTGAAACTAGCACTCCCAGAGCATGAATGAACGGAGGGTGTTTCATTCTGTGCATGTTGGACAATTCAGTCCTAACTGGGCATTATGGCTGCACTGGGCAGATCACTCTGGAGATGTATTTCCATTGCCACGTAATAAATATAAGTACTCTTTATGAGACACTCATAGATGGAAGGCATCTAGTGGTTGCTAAAGGTTATTCTGATGATGTATATTCAAAGCCCTCCTGTTTGGCATTAATTAGCACAATGTTCTATTTTGCAATTTCCCAGCACAGACACATCCAGATTCCTGCTAGGAATTGGAAGTGACATCCACCCACTCCTCCACCCAAACCAGACAGCACTGATACAATCCCTCCCTCCACGAATCCCCCACAACCCCATGGCAGGGACATGCAGGGGCTTGCAGGATGCAGGATTTTCTTGCATTACACAATCAAGGCATTTATTTCTAACAGGCCTCAGGCTGGGATCTTCACGAAGGTCTCTCCCACGGGTCCCAAAAGCCCAGTGCCATTAGCTGGGAGCTCCTGATTAGTCAGAAGCTCCTGATTTGGCCTGTGGGCTGGAGTATTTCTGACATCCAGGTTGAAGATTGCTGATTGCAGGAAGTTGATGCCCTCAGGAGCTCAAAGCCCTAAGGAACTGATGGAAGTTTGTGATCCCCACACTGATTTGAACTCTTCATGTCACAGCTCTGGGACGAACTAGTGTAAACTTATGTGTTCCCCGTTTCTCTGGGCTTGGTTGCTCCAAGCCTACTACAGCTGCTTCCTGATGCAATACTAAGGAAAATGTGTAAGAGGTACTCTGGGGGCTGGATTCTGCCCTTGCCAAAGCCCAAGAGAGAAGGAAACACTTGCACTTTTTCTACCTATTTTATCCCTGTTGGGTGTCTGAAAAGCATTTGCTACCAGCCCCAAGCTACAGAGATAATTAGATGCTGTACCAACCAAACTGCCAAAAGATGATAACTTGTGTGTTTCAATATTGCATGGAACATAACCTAAAATAGCTAAACAGATCCTGTAATTAGGAAAGTACCAACTTACACTCATATCCTCCTCTGCCTAGGCATCTCACCTTTGGGATGTTCATGGCTTCTGAGCTCCTGGCACTTGGCTGAGTGCTTTTTCCACTGGCTTTGGTGCATCCTCAATGCAAAGGGACTTTTTTTGTTCTTTCTTATGAGTGGTTCTATCTTGCCTCATGTAAGGACCCTCGGCCTCTGAGCTCTAGTGCTGAGACGATTCTTCTGCATTAATCTCTTACACCACAACCATCCTCTCAAAAGGCTGGATGGTGAGATGAGTCATTTTCCATGACTAATGGGACAGTGTGAAGCTCTGATGGGGCACAGTTACCGTCCTGCAGCTGTGATCCACTGCACCCACTGTGGGTGACAGCCACTGCTGGAATCTACCTCCAGCGTCACCACCCCCGTGGCACCACTGCAACTCCACCATTCCCAGCACCATGGTCCCTGCACGCTCTCCCAGTGCTGGAGCAACCAGGCCTACATGCACCACTTCATTTTGGTTTTTACGCCTCTAGCTTCCCTCCAGATAAATGTATTTTTTTAACTCAGAAATACATTTGTTCCAAGTCAGATGCCAACTGCTCCCAGTGCCAAGAAGATGCAGCGCTCCTTCTGCTCGCTCTGTTTTCCCGTGAACTTTATCAGTTTTTGCTTGTTTCTCTGTGACCTTTGGAGCCCATTCAAAGTCATCTGCCTTTTGCTTTGATTTCCTTTCAGTCCAGTGCAGGTTGCCAGCTGATTTGTTGCCTGTTTTTACACATCGCCAGCAAATCACCACCTCTTCATATTGTTCAGTCAGTCATCAACTCCAGGCTTGCCAGCTCTTTTTGCTAATGGGCTAGGAGGGATTGTTACATCTAAGCTGATGGGACCAGAAAGCTGCTTAATTACAGCTAACAAATCTTTAAAGACTAATGTCAGACTTTTATGGCCAGTGAGGGTCTGGCCAATGTTATGGACCCAAGGTCCACCTGTACGTTGGCTGTACCTCATCCTTCCATTGGGTAGCTGGACACTCCCACTGCCACACGCACTGGTTCCACTGCACTGGAAATGTATCCCTCAATTTGTTGTGCCAGAGATTTGGCTTATGCTGGGTCTGGGATGGGGACAGTTTTTATCGTAGAGCTGGATGGGACCTCCTGGGTGTTCTCCAGCAGCTGGTCCCAGTTACAGGCAGCCAGGGATCAGTGGGAGGTGAAGGAGCCCGGTGGCTTTTAGCTGTGGTTATTCCTGCAGTGTTGGCAAGAGCTGGGGTGGACATGGGAGCCCCAGGTGAGGTGCAGAGTCCATAGGCCATGTCCAGGCTCAGCTCCAGCACCACAGAGCTCACAAAGTGCTGCTTCCTTGCCTGCAAGGTTCCATGTTTTTCATGATTCCTCAGGAGACCTGTATTGAGGCCCATTTGTGGTGAAAGGCAGGAGTACATTCTCCAAGAGTTATGTGTGTTTCTCATCATGCTCCTCTGCATTGCCTTTTCAGCTCCAGGTGTGGGGCTCGATGGATTGTTGAAGACCAAGATTTCCTTTGTCAACCCGGAATAAAATCCATATTTCCCTCCAATACAGAGAACAGTCAGAAGAAAAGGTGTAGCACAGTTGACCAAAACCCAGAATCATCTGCACTATGGGCATCTCCCACTGCATCATTCAGGACCCCAGGTATGGATTTCTTTGATTTATTTCTTGTGCATAGACATGGTGTACATAGCTTTAAAATATTCTTACTCTATTTTCTCTGTATGGTCCCAGGTCCCTAAAGAAGGTGATTTAGAGAGATAAGTACTCATTGATTAGATGGAACTGTGATGATTTTACATGGTGCAGTGGGTGTAGTGCTTTCAGAGGTCACTGCACACTGCTTGGGCTCTTCACAAAGGTTTAACTTTTACTCTTCCTCCCTTTGTTGGTTCTCTTCCCATAAATCACCAGAATGAAAATATGGATCAGGTGGGGAAAGCCAGTAGCAGGATGAGGGCTTTATTTTGCTATTCTGCTTCCAAGCCTTGCAGTGTAAAGACTGTCACAGGGTTGTGGGCCACGTGTGGCCCCCTTGAAGAGAGCTAAGCTCTACTGGGCCCCACAGGCTGATTCACTGCCACAAACTGCTCACAACATGTGTATAGGGACCACTGGGGCTGTGGTCTCCGAGGCTCAGCCCGCAAGGCTCAGCCCCCCAGGGCTGCACAGCCAAATACTGGGGGAGCTTTACTGTTCCCCTAGGCCATCAGAGCAGCCAAACAGGCTGCCAAGGTCAGGGATTACTCCCAGCTTGGCTTCCACAGGCTCTCTTGGGCACAATCTGAATCTCAAATGTGCCATGTCTGCAGTTATGTCTCTGATCCAGATCGAAGCTCGTTTGCTTGCACGGCCTCACAACAGAGAGCTCAGTTTGAGCTCCTTGATTTCAGTGTTGGCCAAGGTTTTGCGTTTTGCACCGAGATTCGTGCTGCTGCCATCACCCACGACGCCAAGTCAGCCCACAGCCCTCTTGCCACCCACGGAGTCACGGGATCCAGAGCCAAGCCTGGCAACACCCCGTCCGAGGGGTCACAGGCTCCGGAGGGGAAAAGGGACATGTCCCGGGGACCCACGCATCTCAAAGTTATCATGAAAGGATGAGAAAAAAAGGCAACACATAGCCCTGGGGCTAGAAAACCGCTCGAGACGGGCCCATCCCTCGCCGTCCCGGTGCCCGCGCGTGGCCGATCCCGAATCCTTCCCTCCTTTCCCGCATCCCGGCGCGGGGCGCGCGCTTTGCGCGGGGAGCGCGTGCCCTCTGCTGTCCGCGGGCGGAACTGCAGGCGGGACCGGCCCGGGAGCCGGGATGGGCTCTGTGCTGTCCGTGACCTGAGCCGGGTTTAAAGAGGCACCATAAACCAAACGTGAAATGGAGCTACGAGCTGGGAACCTCCAGCATGGACGAAGGAAGGCGTCACGGTCTCTGTGCCTGCGGGTGCAGGGCAGGGTGCAGCCCTTCTCTCAAGGAGAGGAGAACCCGAAGTGGATCCCTGGTAAAGCCTGAGATGGAGGCTGGAGCGGGCAGCAGCACAAGAGGGACAGACTGGAGGTGCCCAAGGCACAGAGGCAGAGGAACTCTACACCAGCACGAAGCACATTTGGAGCAGTGCCTGCAGAAAGGACGTAAGAGCAGGGGCCAGAATCCAGCGTGCATTTGTTCCCTGTGTTTCTGAAATAATCCCTGAGAGATCAACGGGGTTTCACATCTTTCCCCATCTGTTCTTAATCTGTTTGCCTGACAGATGCCAAACCACCATACCCTGCATGGAAAAACACAAAACAAAATACAAGGCTTTATATCTTCTCTGGTTTTATTCAGAAATGTTCCCCGGAGCCTGGCACTGTTCGTGCCCCAGGCGTGTGCCGAGGCCCAGGGCAGAACCTGCCCCAGGGACAGATCTGCTGTCAGCAGGGGCTCACAGCGAGTCTGTTCAGGGCACAGACTGTCTCTGACGGAGCAGCTTTGTGTTTATGCAAACCCGATGACTCCAGTTGATTATCTGCTGCTGGCATCCCTCTGCTGCCAAGAAGCCTCCACCAACATCCCGATCGGATCCCGCTGTTCCAGGCGCTGCAGACTTGTACAGCCTGAGGCAGTCCCAGCCAGGCAGGAGGTGGGCAGAGACAAGGGAACTGCCTTGCTAAAGGTCACAGAACAGAAGGAAACCAGCACCCTGAACCCCCCAAAGGCTCCAGACAATTTGTCAAGCAGCCTCTCATCCCAGTGTTATCTCAGAGTTTGTCCCTGCAAAATCTGTCGAAGACGTGAGCAACAGCATTTTAATGGTACCCATGAATACTTTATTTAAGCCTGAGACTTGGTGACTACAGTACTATCATTATCAGTGCCTGGAATGTACCATCTCTGATAATAAATAATAAAGGATAACTCCCAACATCAAAAATTATTCTGTCCTAAGCTGTTCCCATCCTCATCCTATCGATCAGAAGGTCTGAGTGTTTGTAACAGCTCATACAGTAAATAGACTTTAACATTCTTCTTTCCAAATACTGAAACTGGCTCTTTCCAGGGCAATGCCATGTAATTTATAGCTCTATCACCACCTCCTTAATAGTTGCCAAGTTCTTTGGGGTCCTTTGAAAGTGAACATATTGAAAAGATATGAGCTGAGACTGACCAGAACTTTCATGTCTGTAGGTTCCTATGTGCCTTTTTTTGGTCTTTTCAACAAGCTGCTGAAAACCAATTCTGTATCTTTAAGGCAAGATGATGAGACTTTAGAGTTCCCCTGACTATTGCAAACAGATAACTGATACAGCTCTACAGCAGCCAAATGCCAGCACATCTCTACATCTCAACTTCACCATTAGCCTCGGCTAAGAGAGGAGAGGGAAAGGGAGAGATTTCCTCTTTGTGTATCATTTGCTTAATCAATGTGAAACACAATCCCTGCCAGTCTGAAAATAGGTCTCAAACAGTGACAGTTAAACAGCTGTGCAATTTGTCTATTGCCCCAAGAACAGAGTATTTATATAAGGTTTGGCTGAGCAGAAAAGAAGGCTGGGAAAAGATTCAGCAGCTCTGATAGGAGAGGGGAGATGACAGTGTCTTGAGCTGTTAACATCACAGCATGCCCTGCTCTGTTCAGGCACTGCTTCCCACCAGCCCAAGCCTATGTTAATTTAATCAGTGAAAACACCCTGTGCCTCCCCAGTTTGGCAAAGGTAGGATTTGGGGTGAAGGAGATCTCCTTTGCTTACTCTGCATATTTTACCAGAATCCCCCAACTCTGTGAAATGTCAAGAGAAAGATCAACAGAGTGAAATGTAATCTCAAAGAGAAACACAATATTTTTTAAAATGTCCTCACAGCAGCAATCATAATAAAAATACAAACCTGAGGTTTGTAAAAATCTAGCAATAAAACCACAGACATCTTTACAACTCCCAGATACCCAGAGCTCCCCGGCAGCAAGCACAAAAAGCCTCCCAGACACAAGGAGCAAAAGTCTAACTGGGGACCAGGCCTAATTGTTTTACAGCCTGCAAAAAAAAAAGCCACACATGACACTAATTCACAGGTCATTACCAGCCACCATCAGGGAAGATAAAATAAATTCCCTTCATTTTCCCTCACCTAGAGACCATGGAGCAGCTGAGTTTCAGGGAGATGGAAGCTGTGCTTACAGGCAGTATGTGGTTTAGGTTTATAAGGCAAGCTCAGATGTTTGTGCTGTTTCCTGGTCATTAAAAGCCCTTTTTAAAAGCCAGATTACAGGAATCTGTACTTCCTGAGCTAACAGTAAGTATGTTCTGTTCTACAGGAATAGAGATCATCTCTTTCAGAATGTGAGGCAGGCCCTTGGGTAATGTAGCTCAGCTTCCCAGTGTGCTCTGGCAGGTTATTTAATATTTCCATGCCTTGAATCTCCCATCAGCAAAAGGAATCCTGTATTTAGATCCTTTCCAGCCTTAATGATTCGATGATTTCTCCCACTCTTTGGCCAACCAGGTTTAAAGCTCTTCCCATGGGGACTGCTTATCATGAGGGGGCAATGGAGGACTGTGGCAGCACAGGGCTGTGCAAGGTGAACACTCACCTGAGCATGGAGCAGGATTATAAAGGACAGAGTGCAGCTGGTGCAGGATTTTCTGGACTCCCTGACTTTCTTACGTGTTTGACTTGGGTACAGCAGGATTTTGAGTGCTCCCCTGTTTTGCAGGGGGAGGTGGGCACCAGCTGGCTGAGATGGTGGTACTGATTCAGCTATGGACAACTGTGGCGACTTTTCCTCTGTCTGTCACAGAAATGAACCCATGTGGTGGCAATGATGGGAAATTATTCACAGGGGAAAAAAGAATTCAGTGTAGGCCAGGTTTGAAAACTCCAGAGTAAAACACAGCCTCAGCCTAGTACTGTACAACTGTACTGTACAACTGTCAAGTCGCATTGCAGTAGGTTTCTTGATGCAGATAATTTAATGATTCTTTGGCCCACGGGCACATCTCCCACTGCGAATCTGCTTCTCCAGAGCTGCTTTATCACTGACCTGAAAGGCAGCAATCAGGGCTCGTGTGTGTAAATGTATGTGACGAGCGCTAATGCACGATAATGGCCACAGCGCATCCAGCGGGGCTGACAACACCCACAAGGTTCTGGATGTGTATTTTGCTCCCTGAACATAGAGGTCACTGGCTTTTTCCTGATGATCTTTGACAGAATACAGTAGGCAGAGCCCGAGCATGCATATATACATCTGTCAGTGATTACTTAATACTTAAGAGTAGTTTTAGAGGTATTTTTGTACAAGCCATAAAAAAAAAAACCAAATTGCAGATGTCACGGGTCATCTTTTGCCCTAGAAAAAAACGTTTGTTCTTCTCCTCTTATTCCTAGGCTATTCACAATTTGTCCTTTTTCCTTTGTGGACTAATTGTGCAAGTTTAGCTGCCAAGTTCAAGAGCTTTTTGAAAACTGTTCTGGGCCTTAATCACACTCTTTTTTGACTGGAATGAGAACCCTTACTCCCCAGGTTTCTGGGAAAGGCCCATGATATAATTGAAAGGTGGGAACTGCTTTTGTCCTTGTTTGTACAGTCACAGAATTCTGGCTAATGGCCATCTCATGAATTAATGCTGAAAAATAATGGATTTACTAAGAGTCTGGTTGGTAAAGTGGAGATAAGGGAGCTGAGTAAGGGGCTGACGCCTTCTCCCAGCCAGCAATTGTGGCAATGTTTTACGATCGAGGAGTAGGTCAATTCACTTGCACATTTAATGGATGAGATAAGGGCAGCTTGCACTAAATTAGCTTTCTGAGCAATATATGATCTCAGGGATGTAAAACCCTTCTGGCTGCTGAGGGAGCTGCCTGCACGTCCTTCAGAGCAAGGCCGGGCAGAGCTATTTGCAGATGATGCTCTCTTGTACTAAACGCAACTGTTGATGCTCCTGAGCATCCTGCTATAAAATCATGACCCTATGGCAGTGCAGGCAGTGTGCCACATCTGGGACACAGCTGGCCCCACTCTGCTCAGCACCACTTTGTTAGTGGGAAGTGAAGCTGCAGCAGTTTCCAGAAGGATCTGTGTGTTTTGCCCCTCCAGTCCATGCACAGAGATGTGAGTGCAGCTCATGGCAGCCTGTTCCCGCCTTCTGCTCCTCCAGCCGCAGACATCAGGCTGGATTAGGCACCTCCTGGATCCTGACCTGCTTCTTCCTCCTCAATAGATATCTGAGCCTCAGTTTCAGCACTTGTCATCAGATGTTACTTGTTCTGCAGCAGGAAGTTTCCTCTGGTACCACGAACCCCCCCAGCCAAAGTGTTGTGCAAACAGAAGAACAATAACTAAAACCAGTCTCTGCCTTAAGGAGCTGACAGCATCTGCCTTATTCCTCCCAGCTTCTGTAAATAAATCCTTGGTAATGTTGCTGTTTTTTGGAGGACGATAAAAGGACCTGTCGACACTCCCTGCACAGACTTTTCCTGCCA